GACTCCGGGGACAGGACCCCGTCCGGACCGCTACCTGGAACGCGGCCCAGATTTACGGCCCCGCCCCCGGTCCCGGCTCTGACCTGCGGTCCCAGCCCCGAGTCCAGCACCCCGCCCACTGGCTCGAGCTTACCTGGAGTGCAGCGTGGGCGGCTCCGCAGCGCGGCCGCGGCCCCGGCCCCCAGACGGGCGTCCCCTGGTCCCTTGGCGCGAGGGGAGCGGCGTTCCCAGGGCACGGCGCGGGTCACCGTCCGTGGGGCCGCAACTCGGGCAGGTGCGGGAGACCGTGCGGGGCCGCCCCCTCCCTGCGGGCCCAGAGCGCAGCCCGAGACCCCGGGCCAGCCCTCCCGCCCTCACGCGGCCCGTGTGCAAAGCGAACCGGGCCGGCGACGCGGATCTCCGCCCCGCCCCATCAGACCGCAAATTTTCCCATTGGTCGAGAGACCCGGCGCGGCACGGCAATAGGCGCCGATTGGACGAGTGCGCAAAGATGACGGCTTGCCATTGGGCCTCCGGGGTGTCAGTCCCAGCGGATGACCGGCCCCCTCCCGGAGGGGCAGAGGCCCCGGCACCTGCCCGAATCTCTGCAGCGGCGGTGTCAGGGTACGCGGGGCCGCCCCTTCCCAGCCGACTTGCGAGAACATTCCCCCGACCATCCAGCCCCGAGCAGGGACTGGCATGGCTGGCGCCCAGTCCCGGGACTCCGGCCGCGTAGCCTCCATCACCAACCCCAGTTCACAGGTACCCTTCTTCAGCGCCTGCTACTCTGCGCGCTGGGCGCCGCGCCCTCCTGTCGACATCGAATTGTATTCTTCACGCAAACCGCGAGGGAGAGTACTGCTGCTATCCCCATTTTACAGTTGCGAAACAGCCTCACAGAGGTTCTCACTTGCTTGAATGCAGTCGTCTGACTCCGGAGCCTGGGGGGCTCTCCCACTCTCAACGCCCCTGGGACCTCGCAGCGGGGCGGGGGTGGAGGTAGGGGCTGCATTATTTACCAGGGCAGGAAGAGACCCCCTCGGTAAACCAGGGACTCACCTTCCCAACCAGGCCTGGATGTACAGACCTCTTGGGCCTGTCCCACCCTGCAGGTCCCCCATGAGGCCGCCCTTCCTCACCTCCTCCTGGCATCCTCACAGCCCCACAAGCTCTCGGTCTGGGGAGGCGGAGTTGTGCGTTTATGGCCCCGTACTGCTGTCCCATTTTCTCCATCCTACCTGAAGTCAGAAAGGACCGTGGCTTCACTGCCTGTTGAGATTCGCATAGGTTGCATTTCCTTGCCAGGTTGAGTGCACCAGACGTGAGGCACACGTGGGACCATGACCCTCTGCCAGCCCCGCTTAACCTTGTGGTGTGGGGGGAACCAGCAGGGATGTTCATGCCCAGTGCTTTTTCTCAGGGAGGTCCTGAGATGACTTCTTAGCCAGTGACCCTGGCTCATGCATGCTGTCAGACTTTCCTGCCCTAGATGCATCTGGAGATGACCAGTCCTTGGCTCACTGCATTCCCCAAGGCCGCCTGCGGAACCAAACTGCCCACAACCATGCTCATGGGTGGTGGAGGGGTGGACCAGACACTCCTGTCTTACCCACCCATATCAGGAGTCCAGTGTGTACACCCAATCATTCCTTTATCCAAACTAAGAAAATGAAATGGCCCAAGGCAAGAACTCACTGCTGGGACCACTTCTGGGTCCATCTGTGTCTGGCAGCATGGTGAATCAATCCCAGCTGCCTTTCAGAGCCAGGCAGCTACTATCAATTGGAGCTGGCACTTAATGTGCCAATTGGCCTCCTGGCATGGGGTTGTTGCTTGCTGCTCTGGGAGGGCAGAATGAACTATCTGTCCCTAGAACAGGGGCCCTCATAAGCCAGGTAGCTGTCATCTTGTTAAGCAGCACTGTGGTGACATTCTGGCTCAGGTGCTGTAGAGCTGAGGGATTGTTTCCTCCATTTAGGAGTAGATGTAATGAGTCCAGCTGTCCCCAGCCATCTCTCCAAGTGCATTTGACCCTGGTCTTGCTACAGCCCCTCTTCTCACAGTGACCTCATAGCCCTGCACCACCCCCTTCCCACACTTGCAAAAGGGATTGGACAGAGTGCAAAAGAGAGCTATACACCAAAATCTGTGCAAGTGAAACTCTCTCTCCTTCTCCCCTCATCCCCACCCCTACCACCCATAGAGTTGCAGAGACGTGTCTGCTCTCAGCAGGACAGAGGATGTGGGGGCAGCACCAGTTCAAACAGGACTCAGGACCACTGTCCAGCAGTTGGCCCATTAGGCTGCAGCCGGGGCTCAGAAACACAGCAAGGGAGGCTGGGCTCAGTGGCTCATGCCTGTAATTCTAGCACTTTGGGAGGCTGAAGTGGGCAAATCAGGCTATGTTGTCCAGGCTGGTCAGGAGTTCGAGACCAGCCTGGACAACATAGCAAAACCCCATCTCCAATTGAAAAAAGAGAAAAAATACGAAAAAAAAAAAAGGTAGCCTGGCATGGTGGTAGACACCTATAGTCCCAGCTACTTGGGAGACAGGAGATTGCTTGAACCTGGGTGGCGGAGGTTGCAGTGAGCCAAGATTGCACCACTGCACTCCAGCCTAGGAGACAGGGCAAGACTCCATCTCAAAAAAAAAAAAAAAGAAAAAGAAAGAAAAGAAAAGGCCAGCCGAGGTGGCTCACGCCTGTAATCCCAACACTTTGGGAGGCCGAGGGGGGGGTGGATCACCTGAGGTCAGGAGTTCAAGACCAGCCTGGCCAACATGGAGAAACCCCATCTATTTTTTTTTTTAATTAAAAAAAAATTAAAAAAAGAAAAACAGCAAGGGAGACCACAGGGACCAGTAGCCCAGTGTCCTCCCTCTCTCATCCTCTCACCCAGCTCCATAGGGACAGTTGTGGGACTCATGGGGAAAGCCACAGAGAGAAAATGCTTTCAGCTGGGTGTCAGGAAGAACTTTTCAACAGTTGGAGCTGTTGAAACCAAAAGAGTGACCACAGGAGGTAGTGAGCTTCCTATCTGAGTTTGTGTGCAATTAGAGGTTGTATGCCAGTGAGCCCCTTGCAGCCCCAAGATCCCAGGGCTTGGGTGCCCCCCCCAGACCCATCTCGTCTGCTGTCACCTGCTCCCTGGCATCCCATGTCATCCAGACTGGAGTGTCAGTGGTGACAGAGAACATCAGAGTATCTGGTCTGGAAAAGTATGCCTGGGAGTGGGGCTAGCCCAAGGCCATAAGCTATGACAGAACAGGATGTGAACCACCATCTGACATTTTACTGCATCCCTCTTTGTGGGCAAAGGGAAACCTTAGTTGTTGGGAGTAGATGCTTGGTGCCACAAAGAAGAATTAGCACTGAGACAAAGGATTTTTCAGCAACGCAATTTTTACTTCCTGGAATGCGGGAAGGGTACTCTCACTAGCTATCTTGCCATGAGAGAACAATGAACAAAGGAAAGCATCCATATTTATATTCCTTACACATTTGGGGTCATCCTTACTTCTGTGTCTGATCTCCATTGGCTGGAGCCAGACCTCACAATCTAATCTAAAACCCGATTGGCTAACAACTTAAAACTTTTCTAAACAAGTAAAAGCAATGGAGAGCTGGGACATGCCTGTGAACAGATATCCTGCACAGATATCTTGGTTAAAGTATAAGGACATAGAAGGTACTATGTGTCTGTAAGTATGGCATGCTTTGAGGTGCATGGCCTGGTGTTTTGGGGCAGCTCACTCTGAAGCTGCTGCCACGAACCCCAGGGCACAGTCCATCACCCCCAAGCCCCAGATCCTACTTGTCCACCACCACCACTTCTTGGCCCTGTAGATTGCACAGGTCTGGCTGCTCAGAGGAAAATCAATGGTAGCAGCCCCGCACAATCCCACTGCTGGATAGTAGGAGAAAGAGCCATGTCTGGCTGGGTCTGCTGCCTGCTGGCTGTGAGTCCCTGGGCATCTGCAGTCTTTGGTTTCCTCACCTTGTAAAGGGTTCTGTTGGGTTCCAGGAGAAACACAGATGAGACAGCAAAAGTGTGGAGCACAATGGGCCTGCATGCAGTCCAGGTTAGACTCTTGTCTTTGCTGATTACCAGCCAGGCTCTTCCTATCCCTGAGCCCCAGTCTTCTGCAGGGCATCAGGGCACCTAGGTTTTCAACACAGGTTGAAGCTAATCTGGCCGCTGCTGCCTGCCCCCTTTCTTGACTTCAACTGAATGACAAAGCTGCTCGAAGTCTCAGTGTTTACATCTATAAAGTGGGGTTAAAGAACTGCTGACCCAGACACTGGGTTTAGAGTGCTTTGCACATTATCATTATCCTTAATGTCCTTGTCATCCATGTCATAGTTTTTTGAGTGCTCACTTTGGGGCAGGGCCTGAGCCTCTGGGCTTTGACTCTCCAGCTTTCTGCCATATACACCCAGCCACAGCCCAGAGGCCACTAGAGCAGGGGTCCCAACTAATGCCTCTGTTCTGTTGGGAGAGCCCCAGTTGGTGCCCACTTGCTCACCCTGCACAAGTCAAGCTGGGCCAGCTCCTCATCACTGGGGCCTGGACCTGGATGTGAGCTCAAAGGCTACAGTGGGGGATGGAAGTGGGGAGGTGATGGGTGTGCAGGGTGTAGTGCTCAAATGCCTAGTCCAGGGTTTGGGTTCCATACTGGGAATGGCAGGGGCATCAAGGGTTCCTGTAGCTCTTCAGAGAGCCCGCAGGGTGGGCAGGTGACAGACGGTGTCCACGAGGGCATGGACTCAGGGGCGCCTGCGACCTCCAAGAGCGTCCCGGCTGGCAGGGAGCCGCGCAGTCCCCGAAGGCCGCGAGGTCAGAAAGCACTCAGACGCCCGCGCAGCCCTAAGCTTTGGCGCAGCCCCGGGGGCGGAGCGCCAGGAGTCTGCATCCTCCGAGCGACAGTGCGCTCATCCAACGGGATCCCGGCATGCGGTGCGCCGCCCCGCCCCTCGCCGCACGGCCCAATGGTGAGCGCGCCGGCTGCGGGCGGGGCGGGGACTGGGCTGGCGGCTGTGGTGCGCGGGCGCGGCACCCGGAAGTCGGCGGCGGCGGAGGCGGTGAGTGCGCGGCTGGCTGCCGGGGCTGGCGGACTCAGCTCCTGGCCGGGCCAGCCTGGGCTCAGGGGCATCGGGCTCCGGGCTCTGGGTGCGCGGACGGGGCCAGGCTGCTTGAGGGTGGATGGGTTGGCCGCACCTCCTCGCCCAGCCTCAGTTTCCCCTCTCTGAGGTATGGAATAGAGTCAAGCGGCTGGGTCAGGGGCGACCACGTCGATCCCGGCCGACGAAAATGCCCCGCGCGTTACTAGAAGGCGTTTTTAATAATCTCCGCTGGCATGGGGTGCGAGGGACTCTGGCAGCTTGGACCAGACTCGCTGCGAGGAGGCTGAGACTGGCAGGGCTGGGAGCTGCGTGGTACCTGGAGGGTGGGTGGGCTGCGGCCTTGGCCAGCATCAGGGACAGCTCTGGCGCCCTGAGACACGCTGTCCCCTACCTGCGGCTTGCTGCAGGCCAGCAGGGTGACAGCTAATGTGGGTGTAAGTAGATAGCAAGTGCTGGGTCATCCCTGTGACTTGATGCGGCCTTCCTGGGGTGGATTGGGTAGTTGGATCCCCCCACCCCCACATCCAGAGCATCAGCAGTAGGGGGTGGCAGGGCTGCACTCAGGCCGGTCCTTGCCCCACTGCTGGGCTTTGCAGTAGCCTGGGCTTTGCCCGTTTTTCTCTAGGGAAGTGGGCACAGAAGGCTATTTGCTGAGACCCTCCACATTCCCTGCCCGCAGCACCTCTCCTTTGCTCCCTTGGCTTCCTGCTGGGCCACAAGCTTTAGAGTGAACCATCTGCCCTTGCACAAGTCCCTGGGCCTCAGGCCCCCTTCCTCTTCCGGAATGTCACATGCCCTGCACTGGCCAGGCCTGTCTGCACTGACCAGGCCTCTCGTGTGGCTCCAGACCTGTTGACCACTGTTTTGCTGCCACTCTGGGTGCAGAGCCCTTCCATGAGGCAGATATGACGGCAGCTGTGAGGGGTAGCTGAGTAGCTCTTTGGAAGGCTTTCTCACGCTAGCTCATTTGCCTTTGGGCAGCGTTTTGAAGCAAGCATTCGTTGATCCAATCCTGCTCACACAAGGAAAACTCAGGCTAAGGGGGTAGATGTTCCCAAGGTCATTCAGAGCAGGGGCCAGCTCCCAGTGCCTCTGCTACTCCTGGGCCACTCTCCTAGGAGTCTTCCTGCATCCGTGTCCTGTTGGGTGGGCTGGGGGCAGCTGGAGAGGGTGACTGTGTTGTCAGATGGACACGGCAGAGCCTCTTTTCCTCCCCCAAGGATCCTAGTGCTCTGGTGGTACAAGGTGGGGTGCTGTGGTGCCCCCACCCCTCGGGCCCCTACACAGCTTTGTGTTACTTGCGTGTCCTCAGACTGCAGTCCCCTCAGACCAAGCCCCTGCCTGCTGTGATGTGTGGTGGCCATAGCCTTTCCCTGAGCTAAGATGACCAGCTGTCAGCTCTGCCTTGGCTGCCTAGCCCCTTGTGCTTCGTTGGTGTCTTCACTTGTGGTCTGTTATGCTGATTACGTTTTGCAGTGTATGTAATCATGTGCAGTGTCCTGGGAACTTGATCTTGTGCCTGGCTTCTGCACTAGACAGTGAACTTGGAGGGTACCCTGGTGCCCATCCAAGAGTACTGCTTCTGTAAACATCCATGGAGAGATAAGGGGCTTCTCAGGGACCCCAGAAGGGGTCTGGAGAGAAACGGCCAGGACAGGGAGGCTGGGAAGACTTATCGAAGCAGGGCCATGCTTATCATTGACACTCCAGATGCGTGAGAAACAGGGCCCATCCTTTGGTGATGTGGCAGTCAGTACATGGCAGCAGCATGGCAGAGCCCGGCCTCTGTTGGCCCCTACCATAGGGATAGGCTCCCTGAAAAAACAAGGTCAACCCAGAAGGACTGAGCTGCCTTTTGAGGTTATCACAGCAGCTTTTTCCCCTTTTTCTCTTAACTTCGTTTTTAGATTGCAAAAATAGTTTATGCATGCTTAAAAATAAAAAAAGGCTGGCCTCCATCTCCTGGCAGCTGCTCCCATGGTGTACCTGCTGACATTTGGGGGCACATCCGTCAAAGTCTTCACTGCCATACTTACTTGAAGCGCTTGCCTTTACCCTCTTTGCAGGCATGGTAGGAATGCCCCTTTTTTTACTAACCACTCAGGCCACGGGGACTGCTGCGAGACTGGCCTGTCCCTGGCTTGTGGAGAAGCTGAGTGTTCCTGCCAGGGGGGCCTGAGGGTGGGGCCACCCTGTGTCCAGAGCTTTCTGTGTGCTCATGATGCCTCTTATTTGTGCTACTCCTTGGAACTGGGAAGAGACAGTGATCCTCTGGTGTGAGGCTGAAGTTATGCCCTGGAAGCAGTGTGAAGTTCTCCTGAGGAGAGAGTACCACTGTAGAAAATGTGTCATGATAAAATACCATTTAGGCTGGGCGCAGTGGCTCAGGCCTGTAATTCCAGCACTTTGGGAGGCCAAGGCGGGTGGATCATCTGAGGTCAGGGGTTCGAGACCAGCCTGGCCAACATGGTGAAACCCGGTCTCTGCTTAAAAAAATATGGTAATTAGCTGTGTGTGGTGGTGGGCGCCTGTAATCCCAGCTACTTGGGAAGTTGAGGCAGGAGAATCGCTTGAACCGGGGAGGTGGAGGTTGCAGTGAGCTGAGATTGTGCTACTGCACTCTAGTCTGGGCAACAAGAGCAAGACTCCATCTCAGAAAAAAAAATGCCATTTAATAGCCAAACAGACAGTGTAGATTGGTGAGCTCTTGCTGCGGAGGTGGGAGGAGAGCAGGGCATTGCAGTGGACTGGTCACTCAGAGGGTTTCCCGACGTTAGGGCTTTGTCCGCCAAGACTCCGGGAATAGCGACACTGTGTTCCCATGTGTGTTTACCTCCTCTTCTGGCAGCTACTGGGAGCCTGCGTCACATGTCTGTGTCTGCCTTGTCCTTTGAAAAGAGCAGCTCAAGCTTTTGAGCTCTGCCCCGGGGGCTGCCACAGCTGATAGGGTGGGGATTACAAGGGATGGGGATTGGGCTTCCAGCTGCTCAGCCCTGCTCACCAGCTCTTGTGGCCATTGAGGCCATTAAATGGGGGCAGCAGACTGTAGGGCTCAGTCGCCCTCTGTTCAGAGACTCACCACGTGCAGCCCTGATAGAGACTGACTTGATGGCCACCCTCCCAAGTGTCTAGGCCCCCTTAGCCCTGTGGTACAAATACCTTGCCTTTCCCTTGTGTGCCCTCCTGCCTGTCACCACTGCTTTCTGTTTCTCACACCTCCCCTCTGCCCACGTGCTATTTTTGCTTTTTCAGTTGTCCAAGGGAAGTGCTTCCACCCAGAGTGTGTGTGTCCCATCACCTGTGGCCCCCAGGGTCTCCAGATGTGGCGTTGCTGTGACACCCAGCTGCACCCCATCCTGTGCGGAGCTGTCTTGCACTGGGGCTGATTGGGTCTTATCTTGCTTTTTGTAAACAAGTGACTCTTGGGTTCTTCCCTTTCCTTCCCTCACTTCCCCACCCACAGAAAAGTCCCAGCCCCACTAGGGAAGGAGGGCAGGATCTGTGCATTTTCTTTTATTTTTCTTTTTGAGACAGAGTCTTGCTTTATTGCCTCACAAGGCTGAGGCAGGAGAATCAACTGAACCTGGGATTATACGCATGAGCCATCGTGCCCGGCCAAGTTTTGGACTTTTACTAAATTTGTTACTAAATATTTTTTTCTTTTCTTTTCTTTTTTTTTTAAGGAGTTTCGCTCTTACTGCCCAGGCTGGAGTACGGTGGCATGATCTCGGCTTACTGCAAACTCTGCCTTCCAAGTTTAAGTGATTCTCCTGCCTCATCCTCCTGAGCAGCTGGGATTACAAGCGTGTGCCACCATACCTGGCTAATTTTTGTATTCTTAGTTGATATGGGGTTTCACCACATTGGCCAGGCTAGTCTCAAACTCCTGACCTCAGGTGATCTGCCCTCCTCAGCCTCCCAAAATGCTGGGATTACAGCCCTGAGCCACCCCAGTCAGCCAAATATTTTATTCTTTTTAATGCTCTTTAAGTGGAGTTGTTTCTTAATTTCATTTTGCAATGTTCATTGTGTTCTTTTTTTTTTTTTGAGAGGGACTTTTACTCTTGTTGCCCAGGCTGTGGTACAGTGGTGCATTCCCAGCTCACTGCAACCTCTGCCTCCTGGGTTCAAGCGATTCTCCTGCCTCAGCCTCTTCAGTAGCTGGGATTACAGGCATGCACCACCACACCCTGCTAATTTTTGTATTTTTAGTAGAGACGAAGTTTTGCCACATTGGCCAGGCTGGTCTTGAACTCCTGGCCTCAAGTGATCTGCCCACCTTGGCCTCCCAAAATGTTGGGATTACTGTCGTGAGCCACCATGCCTGGCCAGTGCACTTTCTTTTGAGGGTGGACCTTACTGTTCCCCGCCAGGAAGCATGCCTACTAAATGTGCACACTCAGTGTCTGGCATGACGGATTGTGCAAAGTGAACCCAGCCACACAGCTACCACCCGTATCACACGTGAAACTACCACCAGGCCCCAGACATCTCCCTCGTGTTCCGTAGTGGCCTCCTAGACCAGGTGGCCCTGCCCTGCCATCTCTGTACTCTGCATGAAAAACCAAGCAGAGTGCTGTCTTCTGCCTGGGACCTCCCCACTGCCTCAGGAATGGGGGCTTGTTCCTGTTCATCACCGTGGAAGGGCACAGGCTAGACTTTTCTTGCTGTGTCACTTGGGCACCTGCAGAGTGCCTGGCGTAGTGAGCAGGGGTTGGGGCATGACTTGATCCAGGTAGGGTTCAGAAGGTTCTTTGAATAGCCAAGAGGGAGACTTGCCCTTGACACCCGAGAATGCATTGGAACTAGGGTGACTACTGCAGCATCAGAGGCCTGGTGACACATGCAGGACCTTGAGGGGCTCATGTGACTAGGAGTCCAGTGTGTGGCTGAGGTGGGCCAGACTGGATGGCCAGCAGCCGCCAGGGAATGATTGGTGGTGCGTTTGGGACGCACGG